AGCAGGAGCTGAGGCGCGAGCAGGAGCTGAGGCGCGAGCAGGAGGAGAGGCGCGAGCAGGAGCTGAGGCGCGAGCAGCAGGACAGACGCGAGCAGGAGCTGAGGCGGGAGCAGGAGGAGAGGCTCCAGCAGGAGCTGAGGCACGAGCAGCAGCCTGCTGAGGAGGAGGTGGAGGCCCGTGAGCGGGGCAAGAGCCGCACCTCAAAGTGGCAGTGGCAGCTAGAAAGCGAGGCCGACGCCCGTCAGAGCAAGGTCTACTCCAGGCCCCGCAGGCAGGAGCAGCAGAGGCAACGCCAGGAACGCGAAGAAAAGAGGCAGCGCCTGGAGCTCGAGCGGCAACTGCGGGAGGAGGACGCCGAGTGGCCAAGCCGGTCCGGGTCCCTCCGGGAGGAGCGCGAGCAGCGGCTGCTCCGAGAGGAGCAGGCACGCCTGCAGGAGGAGGAAGAGCAGCGCCGAGACTTCAAATGGCAGTGGCAGGCGGAGGAAGAGAGCGAGAGGCGCCGCCAGAGGTTCTCCGCCCGGCCCCAGTTGCGGGAGCAGCAGGAGAGGCAGCTGAGGGCGGAGGAACTGCAGGATGGGGAACTGCTGCGTGAGGAGGAAGAGCAGCGCCGCCAACGACTCGAGAGGGAGCGGGAGCAGCAGATCCTCGAGGAGGAGAAGCAGCTCCGATTGGAGCAGAGCCTCCAAGAGGATCAGGAGAGGAAGCTACGCCGGGAGGAGCAGCGCCGTGACCAAAAATGGAGGTGGCAACCAGAAGAGGAAAGCCAGAGACGCCGCCACACAGTCTACGCCAAGCCAACTCAACGAGAGCCGCTGAGGGAGGAAGAGCAGCTGCAGCGAGAGGAACTCAAGACGAGGAGGCGCCAGGAGCTGGAGAGACAATATCGGGAGGAAGAGCCGCTGAGGGAGGAAGAGCAGCTGCTAAGAGATCGGAGGCGCCAGCAGCGCGGCAGGCAGTATCTGGAAGAGGAAGAGCTGCAGCGCCTGGACAGAAAGAGGCAATTCCAGGATGAGGATCAGAGCCGCGATCTGAAATGGCAGTGGCAACCAGAAAAAGAAAATGAAGTTCGTAATCACAGGGTTTACTCCAAACGCAAAGTGAACGAAGAAAGGATCCGGCAATTCGAAGATTCCCAGGTTCGAGATAGACCATTCCGGCAGAATCGGTGGCTCCTGCAGGATGAACGGGATGAGGAGAGAGCGCGAGAGAAACAGAGGACCCGGCAGCAGCGCGACATGCAATTCCCAGCTGAGGAACTGCTGGAGCGAGAAGAGCAAAAGGAAGCCAAAAGGCGAAACAGGAAGTTCGGCGAGGAGGAACAGCAGCAGCGCCGCCGGGAACGTGAGCAACAGCTTCGCCAGGAGCGCGACAGAAGGTTCCGTGAGGAGGAACAGCTCCTGCAGCAAAGGGAAGAACAGCTGCGCCGCCGGGAGCGCGACAGAAAGTTCCGCGAGGAGGAACAGCTCCTGCAGGAAAGGGAAGAACAGCTGCGCCGCCAGGAGCGCGACAGAAAGTTCCGCGAGGAGGAATTGCTGCGCCGCCAGGAGCGCGACAGAAAGTTCCGCGAGGAGGAAG